TTGTGTCACGTCATACGGTCTGCAACTTGGCCAAATCAGACAAAAGTCCCAACAACTGTGGACTTGATGACATGTCGGACGATTTACCTTCTGACGGCTGGATTGTCACAGAAGAAGCTGTCTTTTCGTGAGGCTCCGGTTCACCTGAATTTGTACGCTCATTCCTCAGCGCCTCCCTCAGCGTAATATCCGCGCGCACATCGCTTGAAATAGATTCATAGAAGAGGCCTATGCAAAATGAATGCGAAAGAATGAAGGCAAAACTGTAACAAAGCAGAAGAAGTCAAACAATAAACTGTACAAAAGTGTACAAATTCTTGCGCCCCCAATGCACAATGCCAACTTGTACTGACCTCAAAGTCTATGTCTCGTCAAGACGACAAGTCGTTTATTTCAAAGAGATGTTAAAAAAAGAGGTCTGGCAAGCGAAGGTAGTAGAGTTTGAAAGTAGTATGTTGCACTTACTGAGCAGGAGCCACCTCACGGGGTCTCTGGGCGCCTGGTTCTTGGCGGCCTCCATGAAGGTCTCCGCCTCATCGTAGCGCTTGTGCACGGCGCAGACAAGTCCCATCAACAGGAGTCTATTGGTACATTCAGAAAAGTGACAAAAAGAGACTGGCTAAGGGATCGGCTTCATTTGAGGCAGAAATTTGTATCTGTATGTCTCGAAACCAAAAGTATTTTTTTCCTAAACGAGGTGATCTAACCAGGGATAGTGGAGTTTTCACAACACTCATATGAATCCGGCTCCGAGATGCCAGTGAAGTTGTCTAGGATTAGTTTGTTCATTACTCAAACGGGACTCAAACTTGGGTCGCGTGCATCATTGTGGACACAATTCCACTGTCGCTACTCAACTCATCATAGCGGCCCAGATTGGCTCATCATTCTAATCGAGAATTTCTCATAAGTATGAAACATACTCCTACATGCCTATGAATTTTTCCGTTTATAAGTAGGTTTTCGGGACTCTAAACAATTTCGTTTAATGCCCTAAAGTACTGATAGTTGAATTTTTCA